AGTCAGAGCGCCAGTGACCCATCTCTGAGAGCGAGAGAGCTGCGTGCACCACAAACACAGAGCGTCATCATCCGCAGACTCCAGGGATATTATCACAAGTCTCCCAGCCCGTGCTCCGTGGGCGTCATCTCGTTGGCCTAGAATTACACAAAGTTCTATCTGCCCTATACTTCCTTGCCTCAAATAGGAGGGGGTGATTAAAGGGAGCCACTTCACTAGCCTAGAATTACACAAAGTTCTGTCTGCTCAGCACCTCCTTGCCCCTGGACCTCAGAAAAATAACGAATTTTAATAGGAGGGGTGATTAACCCTTTCCGTAAACCTGGGGTCATTTTGTACCCCCCAGGCTGGGGTTGTATTCTTCACATTTTAGAATACTTCTAGTACGAAGATCTCTTTGAAATTTTCAGTATTTCTAAAAATAAAAATAAAAAATCATTTTGACAGACTGCTATGCACAGCGTACGGATCGGATTAACAAGTAAATTTTCTCTTTGGAAAGTGATGGCACAGAGTTCCCTACATCGTATGGATACGATAATAAAACACGACGTACGGATAGGGTGAAAGGGCGCCACCTCGTTGGCCTAGAATTTCACAAATTCTATCTGCCCAGTGCCTCCCTGCCCCAGAACCTCAGAGAAATAACAATTAATCTTAATACGTTTCACCCTTTCCGTGCGTCGTGTTTTACTATTGTATCCATACGACGTGGGGAACTCCGTGCCCCCACTTTCCAAAGAGGAAATTTACTCGTTAATCCGATCTGTACGCTTTCCATAGCAGTCTGCCAAAATGATTTTTTTAGAAATCCTGAAAGTTTCAAAGAGATCTTCGCATGGGAAGTATTCTAAAATTATGTGAAGAATACAACCCCTGGGGGTACAGAATGACCCCAGGCGTGCGGATAGAGTTAAACAATTGCTCAACAATCATTTGTTTACTTCTTAATTAGAGTGTGTTAGTAAATGGTGATATGTTTTGTTTTTACTGCTGTCCTTACGTGTATATGGTCAATTTATGGTTGAGAAAGTTCTTCTTTATGTGCTTGAACTGGTTTTCTTGTTACTGTGAAAGTCTTTATTTTGTGTGAATGAAGTATTACGCTCAATGATCATGTGGTCGATGTAAAGCGCTCAGAGCTTATACTGGCTTGGGATAGAGTGCAATGCAATCTATTATTTTTATTATTTTTGCTATTATTATTATTATTATTATTATTATTATTATTATTATTATTATTATTA